TCCTTACATGTTGCCGATCGAATTCAAATTAAATTATTGATTTAAAATTATATTATTTGTGTACCGAATCCCATATATATCTATACATATATAATGTTATTATTAGATGATATTTGCAAAATAACAAAAACAAATGTAAAGAGATATTTAAGAAAGAAAAAAAAAGGAAATGAGAGAAAAAGAAAATAAAGAAGAAAAAAGAAGGAAAAAGAAAAAAAGTCGAGAAGAGCTCGTAAAAGTAGCTCGTCGTTATTTTTAGTCTTATATCCAGTTCTCGATATCGACCAAGAGAAGAGAATATTATGGCCTGTAAAACTTTTCTCCCTTTTTCGTAGGTAATTTTATTCGAGAAAAGAGTCATTTCGTGGGCAGAGAACAGCCACCATCGAACGAAGAAGAGACGACTACATAGCCTTGTTCGATATCGTCATTGACATCGTAATCGAGCTGAAACTTTCTGACGACTTTTCTTTCTCTTGACATTTTTTTCTCTTCTTTTCCGTTTTTTTTTTTCTTCTTTCGTTACTTTTCCCTCTCTTAGTACAAACAGACACGTAAATGGCATCTTATTTCTCTCATGACGCCCAACGCTCTCTAAAGATTTCAATATGATGGAAGGTAAATCTTTTTAAAAGAAAAAGATCGTGAGTTTTTTACGATGTATATAGTCCAAGTATACATATATGGTAATAATACATTTACAATGCACATTCCTGAAATACGGTTGGAGTGAAGGACGACTCGACCTCGGTTTTAAAATCTGAAATAACGTGTCTAGAAGAGAATAACAAGATTGTATGACCGTAAAGGAATGTAATTCCTTTTGGTTAGCCCGGAAGCAATTACTTGGAGAGAATGAAAAGGAGAAAAAAAAGTCAGTTAGGATGAGATACCTTGCCATGTTAATTCTTTGTACGGTGTGGTTTACCATGAAAATCACCGGTTAATCTCTGAAAACAAATTTTATGAGTATTTTCTTTGTACTTTTTTGTATTAAGTAAAATTTTACTTATTTTTTTATTAGATTAAATTTTTTATTTTTAAATAATATATAAAACTACGATTTATTCTGAGAGAAAAAAAGATAAATATCTATTGGAATTTAATCTATATTATTTCAATAATGTTGCTGTTTCAAAGTAACGTTGAAAGAGTAGATAGATTATTGTTATTAATTTTTTTCCTGTTTCTTTTCTTTCGTTTTTGTTTTGTTTTGACAATAAAAATTTGTTTTGACAATAAAAAACGAGTGTATAAAAAATACTTCGAAAATAATCGAACGATGTTGAAAGTAATACAAATATAACGTTTATCGAAAAAATTTATTTCTATCATAGAAGAAAAACGCTCTTGATTAAAAAACGTTAAAATTGTAATATGTATGAGCTGTCATTCGCTAAAACTATATTGTTATTGATCTTAATACTATGAATAATAAATAGTTGAATAAAAATGAGATGTCATTGATTTTCAATCAAACTAAATTTTTATAAAACGTCGAATTTACATCTAACAATTTTTATCTAACAATTACATCTAACAGTATAAGTAATCGCTTATATGGTAATCGAAATAATGCACTATATGTTTCTAATCAAAACGAAAATCGATCGTTAAAATTCTAAAACTGATTCTATCAAGACCACAAAAGAATTCAACGAATTGGAATGAAATTGAAATCATTCCGCAACGTAAGAAGAAACGATTTCCTTCTGAAATATCTTATCTAAATCCACGAAGTAGTTTTTCAATAGCTTCTGTAGCTAACGTAGCGAGAAATTCGGAATTCCGATAACGTGGCATCGGCAACAGATCAAACTCAAATTAATAGGCCGAATGTCGATGTCGTTCGATGTCGTTTTGTTCGACGCTGTCGTTTTCCTGCGAATCGTTTCGCCGGTAGTGCTCGATATTTTTGGCCGATTGCACGATGGTCCTTTCGTTGCGAACGTCGTTTGTGGTTTTACGAATTGCACATCCGAAAACGTGATATTTTTTTATTTTGTTTTTATTTTTTTTTTTTCAATTCTTTTTCTTCCATGAAAAAGAATATCCAATTATGGGATATACAATATTTCGATCGATAGAATATTTCGTATGCTTTGTTAGAATAATTGTGTGTGAAGTTATTAAATATGATTATACGTAGATACTTATATATATATGTAAAATAATATAAAATTATTGTAACTACTTACGAATGATGATATGTAAATGATAGCATACGTTCAACTTTTACAAGAATTAAGTAGAATGTTGAATGTAACATGGATAAAAGTTTCGAAAAGAAGAAATAGTTGTTTTAACCGCATAACCAAAGTTCTAAGGGAAAATTCGAGTTCAGATCCAGTCGCGAAACAATTTCAAAGAAATATAGAAGAAAAAGAGAGAAAGAAAAAGAGAGAAAGAAAAAGAAAGAGAGAGAGAGAAAGGTTAAGGCTTACAGTATTCATAAATAGTAGTGCATAAGAGTACCGAAAGTGGATTTTCTAGGCTAGACTTTTTGAAAAATGAAGCTTTTGTAAACATCTCTGAAGGTCGACGTGAAATTCTCAAGTCTTTTTTGTACTTTTACGTTCTTAAGCATCATCTTTATTCAATGTAAGAATAAAAATAGACTTGACTATCACAAATTTATTTACACGTTAAATAAATACAAATGATCTTTTGTTTTTGACTCTTTGACAATAATTCGATATTCAATGTTGTCAGTTTAAAACTATACAAAATTGTTTTATCGTTCTTTTATTTACTTTATATATCTCCAATTTTTTATTCTCAGTGAATAATCCTTTTATCGTTTTTATTTTGTGTTACAAAAGGACAAACAGGAAAACAAGCTAACAAGCGTAACGTCATTCTAACGCTTAATATTGCCAAAGGCTTTCTCTGAATTCATACCTTAGACATCTAGTTTGCACTCTTCGCTTTTAAACTTCTTTTGCTTTCTCTTCAATTCATATCTATTGTTTTGCTATACTCGTATCTTTTGCATTTTACATATGTTGTAACTCATAAATTGACGATTAGGAATTTCGTTTTTGGATAAATAGTTTTTTTCTTTATATTACTATAAATATTTCTTAATAATTACGTAAACTCTATTCTGAAGGCTTAAAATTATCAATATAAAAATTTGAAATATATCTTTAAATTTTATTCGCTTTTTTTCGAACCTACTTTCGTTCTTTTTTCTTTTTTCTTCTTAACTTGCCAAATAACTTTTAATCTTTTAATTATTTTCAAATGAAACGTTCGACTGATTGACTTTTAGAGATCTAAAATCAATGAATTATGAATATATATATATATATATATATATATATATATATATATATATTCATTCGAGTTGATTTTACATTTCTATTGCACTTTATACCTCGATTGAAATATAATTTAATAACGTAATTCGCCAAAGTTCGTATTACATGATTTAACATACCGCTCGCTCGTGAATTTCCGATATTGGGGAAATAATTTAAGCGTTGAAACTAATCGCATGTGAAACGTATCTAATGCTCGAACACTTCTATTTAATCGTAAACGTTATATCCATGAATGATTATAGTGGAAATATTTTTTATTTAAGCATGAACGTATAAAAGAGAAATAACCGATATACATACATACATACATACATACATACATACATACATACATACATACATACATACATACATACATACATACATACATACATACATACATACATACATACATACATACATACATACATACATGCATACATACATACATACATGCATACATACATACATATATATATATATATATATATATATATATATATGTATATATATATATATATATATATATATATATATATGTATATTCGACAAAAGAATATATATCTATGTAAAAAAATATATATATACACATATGTACGTACATTCTACAAAGAAAAAAGACTTTCAGTGACCATGCCATTCACGAGATAATTGCATCGCGTTAACGAGATTGTTATCATTCAAATAGCAATAATAATACTGAGAATTCGAGCGAATTTCGAACACAAAAAGAAAAAGAAAAAAGGCAACAAGCGCCACTTGGAACGCTCAGAAATGAGCGCATCTATTTTCAGACGACGACGTTGCGTTTATGAAGCCAGCCGATTAATCATCAGGCCGACAGGACCATTTACATCGGCCGATGATATAGAAATAATTCTTTTTCTTTCACGATTCCGCGAGAATTCTTCCATAATCGTTAATGATGAAAAGGTTGAATAAAAAAATTCTCTTATTAATGTGTTATTGAAAAAATTTGTATCGATTTCATTGATTATTTTTTCAACATTTGAAGAACATTTGATATAGTAAATATAGCGATCCTTAAACGTATCCTCGTATAAAAGTCTAGTCAATTAAATGAATTGAAAATGTGTGTACGTTTACTTAAGCGATTAAGAATTTAGACTCTAAATGGAAAAAAGAATTATAGAGCACAAATGATCAAATCAATTAATCTATCTATATATTAGGTCAGTCCAAAAGTTCGTGCGCATTAGTAGCATGTATGTATGTAGCAAAATGCGCACGAACTTTTGGACTGACTTGATAGATATCAATATAGAATATTTATTAAAAATAGTTAAAATAGTTGCGAAAATCTCTTAATAAAACAATCATATTTGAGTCAATAAATTACTTCAGAATTTACGAGACTCGAACGTATTCATTCCTCATGTTGGAAATCCATCGAGAATTATTATCAGAGGCTAGGAAGCTGTCGCGCTTATTGAGAAAACGCAGAGCGATTTCCGGCAGGTCAGAGACACGTTTCCGGCCAACAAACTCGCGTACACACGTTTGCTCCAAAACGTGATCCGTTCGAACTTCTCTGTTATCGTTTAAATGTATATATATATATTTAGATGCATAGATGTGTGCGCACACATGTTATATGTAGATTATGTTTACGTATATACAGGTCTGCAAGAGCATGTAAAATCGGACAGTCGGTGTAACAAAGCATAGAATTGTAATTGTTTCATCCCCCAACCAATTCTCCCATGCTCTCAACGCGATGCTATTGTTCCTTTTACGAATATCAAACCTCGAAGCCCGTCGCGAGAAAGTGACGCTTAATCTACACTCATAGATCGCGTTCTCTCACTTCTTTTTGTTCTCGTCTAGACCAAAACGTGCGGATATTGTCGACGCTATCGCAAATTGTTCGTGACAGGTCACAGAAAAAGGGAAAGAAATATCAAAGGACCGTTTAACTTGATATTCCAATTTATCTCACAATTTATTCTTCAAATTGAAAGTCGTTGTAATTACAATGGAAAGAACGTTTTTATAATTTGTACCATCATTCCCATCTTTTTTATTTTTCCATTTACGTTATACTTATATCATTTGCGATAAAAAAAATATATTTAAATTTATCATATAAATTTATTTGTAATTTGTTGAAAGTTGAACGATAGGAAACTTTTACTTCAAATATTTATATGAGATAGATTATTTACTTTCTATATTAATATTATTATTTTTATTATTATTATTATCATTATTATTATTATTATTATCATTATTATTATTATCATCATCATCATCATTATTATTATTATTATTATTATTATTATTATTATTATTATTATTATTATTATTATTATTATTATTATTATTATTATTATTATTATTATTATTATTATTATTATTATTATTATTATCTTTATCATTATTATAGTCGTACATTGTTTAGTTTATTACAAATATGATGGTATTTAAGAAAAGAGTGAAAGCATTGTTTTTACCACAAGATGTCGTCAACATTACGAGTGAAGTTGTTTAATAAAATTCACTAGAATTGTAAGATCGTTTGTCGCGACCCAACATTATAATTTACAGGACTGCTTTGTTCCCGTCTCGACGGAGCGCATTATCGTTTCGTCTCGTCAACTTGAGCAAACTTTCTACCTTTCTCTTTCTCTTTCTCTGTTTTTTTTTTCTTTTATGTATGAAATATATTTGTAGCGCTAATGAGAAATAATTCAAGACGATGCTGGTATCTTGTTTGAAACAAGAACATGACGCGAGATACCAGAACGAAAAATAATTCTCATATTCAGAGATAATTTTCAACAGAAAACTGAGGAACATTTATCATTTCCTCTTCGTTTCGCTTTATCGCACGACTTAATTCGTAGTATCTAATTTCACGATCGATGAACACGCTCTAGTATTGGATAGTATAAATTTTCTTTAACGAGATGGTAACCGCCGTTTTCACGAAACTTAATGAGCAATCGATCGTGTTTCTCCTCGTTGAAAAGTCGTTAGAAAGATCGATTAATGAAAAATCATCTAATTATCATTGAGTCATCGTTAATATAATACGTTACATGTTGATATAAAACGAATTCTTTCTGAAATGGAATATTCAAAATTTATTAATAAATAAATTATTAATAATTAATTAATAAATGTATAACTAATGAAAAATTAAATAAATATGGGTATTATAAATTACTTTAGATTAAACTTCTTATCGTTTTTAGAGACTTAAGGCACTACTAACATGTATCGTATCTACGCTCAGCCATTTTCCCATCTAAACTTCGGGGAGTCTGTTTTCTCGGTAAACACGTCTTAATAAACGTTTTCACCTCCTCTAAAGAAGATGTAGAAGACATCTGATGTTTCTTCGAAGTCGCTCGTTTGTGAATATAAACAATGGATCTTTTAAACTAACCTCGTTGAGTAACCACTTTGCTTTGAGCTCCCTTTCTCTCTCTCTCTCTCTCTCTCTCTCTCTATCTCTGTATGTTTCTCTCTCTCTCTCTCTCTCTCTCTCTCTCTCTGTCTCTGTATGTTTCTCTCACTCTCTCTCTCTCTCTCTCTGTCACTCTGTCTTTTTCTCTTTCTTCCTCTCTTTCTCTCTTTCTGTCTATTTTTCTTATTTTCTTTTTCTATATTTCTCTTTTCTTTTTTCTTTTGAAGTCGTTCTAAAGTGATATTAAAGAAAATGAGATTTTGAAATAAGTGAAAGCGATACCAAGAGTATTTCCGTTCGATGGAACGCACGAATTTCAAATTCTGCTTTTATTCTAAAAAACAATAGAAAGATATAGAGAACTATAATTTAGAGGAAAGACGCGTAATGCACTAGGAGGATTACGTCAAGCTTGGAATTTATTCGATACATTTTTCTCATCTTTCGATATCTAAAACATGAGAGAGAGAGAAAGAGAAAGAGAAAGAGAAAGAAAAAGAGAAAGAGAGACAAAGACAGAGAGAGAAAAAGAGAGAGAGATATATAAGATGTGTAGAAGATCGTCGCAATATCCTCTCTACTTGATTTACCGCAAGTTCGCATTCTCGAAAGTGCCATACTTACGAAGAGTAAGATAGCTCAGGGTCTCTGACTATGCGACATAGTCTAGAAGGAACTGATACCAGTAGAATTCAACATGTATCGTGACTACGACGAAGGAATTTTGAGAATTCGCTTTCATTCACTTTAGCGTTTGTGATATGAATGATAAA